GTTATCGTTATCTCGGTTACACTGTCTGCGATTACGCCGCGAGTTTGTGAGGGATCATTTTTTTCTGGCATTCGCTGACGTGACTGTTTAAACTCGTTTTATTCTTATTAATGGGAAATACTGTAGAATAGGTCACGTCTCGAGGATTCACGAGAGGAGGAGAATGACGTAAACAATTATCGCGATTAACGCTAATCTATCGTCAGATGCATATTAACTGACACTATTCCTTCTTTCTTTTTTTTTTTTTTTTTTTAAGTAAGACTACTCATTTCAATAGAAAATTAAAAGACGGAAAAGTCTTCTTCTCTCACTCCTACTCTCACGAACATGTTTGTCCGTTCTTAATAGTGAATGACTATTAGCGATTTCAGTCTATAACCTTTATATCTTTGTGCTACACTTTATAACGATCGGCTATCCTCCTTTCATGTCCCTCGCGAAACGTCTGTACCATTCCGTATTTTACATTCCGAATCACGTAACACATCGGATGTCTCTAAAAATGGACATTTTTTTTCCCCCCCCGAGTTAAAATGCCGAGTGCGCATAACTCGGCGTCTCGACGGCGGTCGAGTGTGTCGATTGCACCGTTAGGCAATTGGGATGTGTCGGGGCAGGTGGGCGGTGGAGGAGGGGCGGGGAGGGGGGATCCCATGCGAGATCGCCTCGCGGATGCGATCGGCGATGCGTTCCTCGCGGCATGGCCGCGAGAAGAAAAAAATACCGGCGGCTCTTGCAGGATGGTGAATTACGGCGCGTTGCAAAACCCGACGTTTGCGCAATTAAGCCGGCGAACGTCTCGGCCGACGTTGTAGCTGAGAAAAGAAAACGCCGGCCGCGGCCGGACTAAAATTTCGTAGTCGTGGTAATACCGGTCTCTCTCGTTAAGGCCTCACGAGCGCGCAAAAGTTTTGCCTCGTATATCTCGATTGCGCCACGATATCGCTACAATCCGAGCCGAATTGTTGCGCGAGCGTAAACGGCACGTAAAGCGGATCGAGCTAATAATTCGCATTACGTTACCGATGCCCGCCTAATGGGCCCGTCGTTTTTTTTTTTTTTGTATCTTTCTTTCGCAAAGCGGTAATTGCCGATTAAGCAAACGACCGAATAAAACGGCAAGAATAATGACAATAATAATTGGGAAACCCCGACCCCAACGGCTGATTAACGCTCGTGTCTCCTCGGGCTATAACTATATCCGATTACATCTCACAGCTCGAGAACATTACGTTTGATCTTGACATCTAAACTTCTTTCTACGGTGAACTTGTAATTTGTTTGTAATTTTTGAACACTCTGAACGTTTTCGTATTTATTTATATACGATTTAGTCATCAAGCGATGGATGAACGAAAGTTTCACCGGAAGAAGTGCAGACTTTGCACGATTCTCTTTTTTTCTTTTCTCTTTTTTTTTTATTGTTTGCAGAACATAATTTCTGACAGCGAGAGTGGTATTTTTAACACTTGAACGAATAGAAATTCGAAACTTGCTGCGACTAAAACTTTTGAATTATAAGTAGAATAATATAAGGACTAAATATTTAATTGAAAATTTAAATACTACCAAATTGTTCCGCGTCTCTATTTCAAACAAAAAAGAACAACACTTTTTAATTACACTTAAGTAAACTCAAATATGAATGAAACAGATTTGAATATTCTCTATGAATACCAGGCTCCATGGAACTCTCCAGGCAGTAATCCAGTAAAATCGAATTCTGATCGAATAAGCTCGATTAAACACTGTTTAATTGAGCTTGAGTAAATACCGAATTTAATGAACACTGAACATTTTATCGGTAATACCATCATCCTTTGACCATCACTCTTTGGCGCTCAAGTATCGTGTAAAAGATTCGATTTGTTCTGACAACAAAATATATTTGCGAGTACATTTCGAAATAGCTACTCGTTCCTGGATTTGAAAATAGCTTATTTCGACAGCGACATTTTGCAATATTTAATATATCAATTCAGATATAGAACTCAGTACTAAATTGTAGTATCTTAGATGATGAAGTCTTATCGAATTTTGACGCGAATTAAAATTTCATTCCAATTTCCCGAAGATAAACGTTACTCATCTTCTGGTGTTTGTTTTAGAAGTGGAATGCGAGGTATCCAGCCAAGTGGAGTATTCGCTCCAGGCGATCTGGGGTGTCAGCATCAGGGAATTGCACCTTGCGCTCTGGAAGCCCTGGAGCACGCTGCGAGACGCGTCTCTGAACGGGACTCTTTTACAAGGACACGCGCAATATCTCACGCCGCCGCAAACGTATCCTTCGAGAGCTATTTCGAGAGTTGATTTTTATCGCAGAACATCCGATCCACACGCCGAAATAACACGAAATTTTAGTAATCTAGCATTTTTTAATCTAGCAGTCCAATTAGGTCATGTGTGATCTGCGGAATATCTGGTTGGCTATTTTGTCTTCCGCATAATGAAACTTTAATGACAAAATTATGTAATTGTGCGTTGTCTGTGTTAAATCACTTAGGCCGGGGACACGACGGCGAATCGACCAATCATCGTTATTTTAGTCGAGCGTTCTCCTTGTCCTAATTTTGGGGGAATGCTCGACGTGATTGGTTCACTCGCTTGCTATTGTATATTTTTTACTTGTT